GCAAGGGATACATGCCTAAGAATTTTGTACACCATTCGAGCATGATGTAAATAGGTGATTAATTACATTGAAAAGCAGTGATCCATGAGCCTGCCCTAGGGCAGAAGATGATTGAGTACCAGGAATTAAAGAGTTGTGAGATCAAAGAAGACCAGTTTGAGTTGCGCTAACTTCAGGCACCGTAAAGTAGGAAGGAATAAAGAATGAAGCCCTGGCCCTGGCCGGGTAGCTCAGTTGGTTAGAGCGTTGTCCCGATACACCAAGGTTGCAGTTCAATCCCTGGTCAGGGCACGTACAAGAATCAACCAGTGAATACATACATAAGTGGAACAACAAATCTCTCTCTCTCTTTCTCTCTCCCTTCCCCTCTCTCTAAAATAAATCAATAAGTAAAATTAAAAATAAAAAGAACAAAGCCCTATGTGGCTTGAGCATCGTGACACGGGATAAAGCTGGAAAGAGAGATGCTGGCTCCCACAGGGCCTTGAACACAGCGGAGCATGGTGTTAGAGGGCAGAGGGTGCCGCTGGAAGGCGTGAGGCAGGGGAGAGGTGTGATCCAATATTCACAAACAGAAGGTCACAGAGGGAGGTTGTGTTACAGGAGGGTGAGAGTCAGGGCAGGAAGCTGCTGTTGTAATGTGTGTCAGAGATGACGGTGGCCGGGGCTGAGAGGATACAGAGAAGAGAGCGGACTGTATCAGGAGATGAATTCAATAGGACGTGCTGACGTGGGCTTGAGGAAGGGGAGGAATCCACAGCGCCTCCTAGGTTTCTGGCTGGAGTTGGTGAATGGAGCTGGTGCTACTTACATGGAGAAGGTGTGCATGGGGGTGATGGGAAGGGGTGGAGAAACTTTGGTGCCAGGAGCCCGGGGGATTCAAGGCTAAACCGAGTACCTGCTCTCCCTGAGCTCTTAGTTCAGTGACTAGTGTGTGGATGGACTGTAGCTGTTAGAATGCAGGTGCCAGGTGGTAGGACAGAGGTGCCACAGGTGTCTGAGAGTGGAGCTCCTGGCCTCGCCCAAGTCACAGCCAAGATGGTTGTTCTGAAGCTCTTCCCAGGCTCCCCTTAGTCTTAGGGAGTGGTGTCTCCCTGAGGTTTCTGTATACGTGTCGCCGATTGGGAGCCTGCGGTGACAGATTATTCTCTGCAGGAAACCCAAACAAGATAACACTTCAGTGAGGTTTCTCAAAACAAAAGTCCCAGCAGCACGTGTCTGGCTGATGAGCATGGCTCTCCTTGGGTGGGGTGACCTCAGATGCCTTGACAGCCGTCTGCTCCACTCATCTCCCCAGGCCTCCCACCCAGAACGGGGAGGGGAGGTTGGTTGACTTTGCTGAGGGAGCTTAAAATGCTAATATGGTGTGCTGGGAGATTTTTGCCAGGAGTAGGCTGTCTAGCGCAATTAGATCCTGACTCTCAGGTGTCAAAGATGGGGATGCAATATGGACTGATCCTTAGATTAAAAGCCCAATGTTCTCTTCACAGCACCACAGTTTGGCCCCACCTGTTAAGGGCTTTAGTGTTAGGGGTATGCATTGTAGAGTGTTTCAAATGCTCGACTACGGAGTTGGGACTTGATTTAATAAGCAGTGAGTACTTAACATTTTTTGAGCTGTGCTTCAGACATTTAATCTGGGAGGACTGTTAAGATAAATGAGAGACCTGGATACCTAAGTCAACTTGACCGCTTAAAGGAATATGAGCATCGCCCTGGCCAGTGTGGTTCAGTTGGTTGGGTGTCCTCTCGCGCACCAAAAGGTTGCTGGTTTTATTGCTGATTCTGTTCCCAGTCAGGGCACATGCCTGGGTTTTGGGCTTGATCCCTGGTAGGGGGAGTGCAAGAGACAGTCAGTCTATTGTTCTGCTCTCACATTGATGTTTCTCTCTCTCCCCCTCTCCCTTCCTCTCTCTCTAAAAATCAATAAAAAAAATATTTTTTAAAGAAAAGAATATGAGCATAGTTGGGGATCAAAGTCATAAGAGACTGGGCTGAGATAACCTGAAGGTCAAATAAGTTGATGACTTTGTCCAAAGTCAAGATAGCTAATCAGCTGTGCAACTAAGGTTCCAGTTCAAGTTTGTTTTTAATGCCCATATTCTGGTGTCCAGTTTTCTAATGGAGTGGAAAGCAAAGCTAATGTATGCAGACCAAGGTCACAGTGCTATGGCTCATCATCTCTTAAGGCCACTTTATGGGCTGTTAGGAAATAGTGTGTCTGTACCTCACATGCACCTGGCCCCGTGATGGACCAGGAATGGGAGTGGGTAGTAGGTGCAGAAATACAATGGAACTAAGTAAAAATATCAGTTTTTAAAAATATTTTAAATTGGTCTAAGCTATAGAAGTTGTTAAAAGGTACTTGTTGGTCTAAGAAGAGGTGAATTTACCTAACTTCAGCCTGCACGTCAGCATTAATGTTCATCAAATTAGGCAGCAGTTAGTACTAATGGCCGTCACTCGGTTCCCTCATGCCCAAAGCCTCGAATGTAAAGGTTTGTAAAACTTGAGGATATTTACAAGCCGTGGTAATATCTTGGCCATGTATATGCGTTTTCGTTAGCACAACAGAATTTGCCTCTTCATTCTGCCAGTTTTTTTTCTTTTTCTGCCCTAATCCTGCTTTTGAGTTCCTGACACTTTTTTGGCTGCTTACCCCAGAATCGCCTGCTTGCTCCTCTCGCTTCTCTGCCTGTCGTGTGAGTCACTCTCTTTCCTGAGCCAGCGCATGACCTCCCAGTCATTCCCCAGGGATGCACCGGGCACTTTCCCTCTTGACACTGCAAGTGAAAAAGTGACAGGTGTCATCAGTCTATGCCTTCTAATTAGTGCCAAATGTAATATGTTACCTGGGTCTCATCAAAGCCCAGTTTCCTGTGTGTGCTCTTGCCACTGGGCTCTGGCAGCATTCGCTCCCCCACCCCACCCTCATCTGATTCATTCTCTCCTGGCGTCGCATGTTGTTCCCAAGGATTCTTCTTCAGTTTTTTGGACAATATATACCCCTCCCTTCCATGTGTCTCTCTGCTGAGGACTCAGGCTCAGACACAAGCTGTGCTCATCCATTTATGTTAGGCTAAACATACAGACTTTAAGCAAAACACCAAATTTTGGGGTGTGACTTCTGAGGTCCAGTTCTCCTTATTGCAGATATAGGGAGTCTTAAAGTCAAACATGAGTCTGTTTCAGAGGTCTCACGCTGAGCTTGTAGACCCCTGGTTGCCTGGGATGGTTGTGCTTCTGCTCAGTTCTCTAAGGAATTGATTATGCAGGTATTGAGAGGAGAGATGGCACCTGTCATGGTCCCCAGGGTCCAGTGGATGTCATATAGAATTAAAATAACAAATGAGAATGGGAAATACAAGCTTCCATGGGCTTCTTTAGAGGCCACCTTTCAATGCAAAGATTTCACAGAAACGAGAGAAGAAATAGACACTGATGACAACAGCAATGTCCTTGAACTGCAGGAGCTCTAAGAAAGCTCCTTCTGATTCTCCAAATACTAGGTCTCAGGTTCTATATACATTTTCAAGTGGTTGTATAGCCAATTTGAAAGATCTACTTTTTTTTTCTTCCCATTTTCATCTGTTCAACAGTGCCTACCACTCACCTCTATTCATGCAGTTCCCTCCCCAGTTGATGGTTTGTGTGAGTGCAGAGCACACAGCTCTCTGATGACCTTGAAGGGTAGCTGAAGGTTAAGATTTCTTCAGCCCAGCTGGCACACCTGCGTCGACCTGGTGCTCCCAGCCCCAGCTCAGTTCCTTTCTGTCTTTTTCTTCATCTCTAGTTAACATTAAAGTCACCGCTCCCCTTTCCCAGCTTCTTGGCTATTGGCCCAGCTCAGAGGCGGGAACCAACATTCATTCCCCTGTGCAGATAAACTACACCTTACCTGTGTTGGCAGTTAGCAGGGTGAGGCAGGCAGCCGTGGTGGCCTCTCTGTTCATTCTTCTACAACCTGCTCTGCCCAGGGAGCCTCCAGGGCTGCTTTAAGAGTATCGGGCATATGCCAGGAGACCTGCGTTCTCAGCCTCCCTTCACACTTCTTAGGTTCCTCATCTGGAAAAGGGGGAGTTGGTTGATCCCTAAGTTGCTTCTAGTCCAGCTATATAAATTGAGTATATATTTTGTGCCAAGCACTGGAGATTGAAAACAAAGTGCCCTGCCTCCTAGCAGTGCATATGTGAACTGGAGGTAGATGGCCGAGTATAGCCCTTACAAGCAATTCATCTCCCAAACCCGCAGCCCAAACATTTGTTCTCAACCTGCTTGAACATCCACTTTCCTTGAAGACCTCATAGGCTGCTCTTTCCATTACTCATCTGTCTTCTTACTCTGTTTTAAAAGGATAAATATAGATGCATTTTTATCTGGTATAGAGTATCTTCTTTCTACCTCCCATTTAGTCAGACTGAAATCCCTCTTATTGCAACTGATAGCTGTTTTATCTCATGTCTGGGAAACTTGAAGCAAGACCAGACTGATGGTTAATGGCTGCCCTTTGTGATTCATGTGTATGAACAGAAATGGTCCAAACCGTCTGCTGGCACATGGGGCTCAAATACAAGAGAAGAAAAGTTCTTGAAAAAATTCTAACTTACACAGTGGCACAAGGTGGACATGTTATAGAAACAAGGGTGAGAATTTATATCTGTAATTCCCAGGAGATTTGTGTACATAATAATGCTCTAAGGGGTGTTGCATCCAGAGAGAACTTGTCAGAGTGACCAGCCGGCTGCATCTCCTTCCTGGGGGTCAGGAAGGAGGGTGTGTGCCATTTGTAAGCCCTTTTCAGAACTCCTTTCTTTCTCCCATTTTTCAGATCTCGTGCAAGCTTGTGAGGGAGGGAGGAACACTTTTACCCTGTCCGTTACATGTATCCTGAAGGAAAGAGAGATGCTCCTGGTCAGGCTCAGGTCCTTGTCAACAGACTCCCTGGCAGGCAGCAGAGCCTTTCCATGGCCAGCGACTGACCAGAGCTTTTTCTCTTCCAGAGACGAGAAGAACCAGTCCATCATAGTCAGCGGGGAGTCTGGAGCCGGCAAGACCGTGTCAGCCAAATATGCCATGCGCTATTTCGCCACAGTTGGTGGCTCAGCCAGTGACACCAACATCGAAGAGAAGGTCCTGGCGTCCAGTCCCATCATGGAGGTAAAGCCCTTGCCCTTCCTGGTTGGAGTCCCTTCCTTGGAAGCGCCTCACGTGGTCACAGTCACGTCTTTGACTGAGAGCCCATTGTCCGCTGTTGAGGAAAAAATTACAAAGATGCCCCTGGGGCCACAGATTTGGGAATAATCTAACCTGGTAGCATCCTTCAGGTACCCAGTATTGAGCAGAATGTCTTCTTCATGTTTTCCTTGTCACTTGACTCTCCTGAATGCTGTAGAGACAGTCCTTCCCCATCTACCACCCCTTCTGCTGCCATCGTAGGTCAGCAAATCAGTGGTCCACCAAAACCACTCAATGCTTAGAGGCCCACTGAACCAGGAGAACAGTTCTCATGGGGATGGGGAAGCCTGGGTAGAAGATGCCTTTTTTCCCCCTAAAATATATCTAGATATTTTATCCTTTGGGGGAAGGTAGAGCCAAAAGCTATGCAATAACAGACTCTATTGAGGACCCTCAGAAAACAGTCACCTGTGATGGAATGAACTGGCCAGGACACATCCTGTCTGTGTCTTCACACCCTCTCCATCACCACCTGGGCCAGGTGGGCTCCAAGCACTCGGTGCCAGGGCAGGGCCAGAGATTTCCTAAAACTTGGACCTTGCTCTATATAACTAATCATGACTTAGGGTCAGAACTCTATTTCTCTTTTTTCCCTTTGCTCTGTAAAAACTTAATCCTGATGGAGAAGCACTAAATGGCCACATGGTTCCTGGGCCAGCTTTGATTTCTTGCCTTTGACTCTGAGGTTCTTCATGAATGTCTGGGTTACAGTCTGGTAGGAGCCCACCCTCTGCCAGCCCTTTGTTTTTATAAGAAGGAAATCTGTTGAGGCCAAAAGCTGCCAAGATAACATCATATTTCTCTGCAGTGCCTTGAGCCCCATTGATTAGTTCACAAGTCACTAAGGGGGTTGCTCTTTCAGATTATTTTGGAGCTGGGGGAGCAAACACCTGCCTGGACCTTCCCAGGTATCCTCTCTCTCCTCCTTCCTTTACTACATGCAGGAGTAAATTCTGAATCTTAGTTCATAGGAGCTCATAGATTATCCAGGCAAAATCTCCTGCCAACAGAGTAGTATTGTCTGGAGAACTTCATTGTCTACTGAGTAATAGGACACAACAGATTCAGTAAGAATGTGATCGCAACTACTTTCTATATCTGTTCTTATATGAATTGGGAAATCTTTAGTACAATTGAAGGCAGTTTTGCAAACAGATAAAAGCAAAAAGAAAACTTTTTATTCTATTACAATGGTCCTTATACTTGCCCGTGCACCAGAATCGCCTGAAGGGCTTGTTAAAGCAGATTACTGGGCCCCACACCCAGAATTTCTGATTCAGAAGATCTGGGGAGGGGCTCAAGAATCTGCATTTCTCACAAGTTCCTAGGTGATGCTGATGCTGCTGGTCTGGGTACCACACTTTCAGAACCACTGGCCTATTGAAAAGGTAGGAAAGGCTCACTGGAAAATAGGCCAGCATGAAGGAAAGTAATCCCCCCCAGTCCTGCAGGCTGCTAATATTCATTCAACATTCTGCTGTGTTTCCTTCCAGCTTTTTCACTGAATATTGTAGTATAAGCCTTGTCCCCATATCATTAAGCTTTTTATGAAATGTCTTACTGGCTGCAAACATATGTTACTATTTGGTTTTACCATATTTGTTTAACTCCCTATTATCAGGCATTTAGTTGGTAGCCCATTTGCATTCAGCATATATTCTAAGCCCTGAGGTGGGGACCTGGCCATGGCCCCAATTCCGAAAGTGATCATAGACATGGCCTGGGCCTCTGCAGGACCATTTACTGTACCTAAGCTGAGGCAGCTAAGACAACACCATTAGCATCATGTTTTAGCTCCAGTGGGAGTGAAACCAGGCTTTCAGCTTCTCCTTTGCCTAGTGTTTCAAAATTCAGTTCATCTTTAGGCAGCAAGAGTTCAAAGACACAGAGTGCCTCCTCTTTTGGAAATAGAGTAAGTGGTTACTCTGCACAAAACAGAGAAGGGAAGAAACCTGTTTGATCTCTGGTGGCTGAACAAAGTGAATTCTCAGTCAAGATGAGAATTTAATGAAGGCAGATCGTTATTAAACATGTGCGAGACTCAGGGTGAATGATATTTTTTAAAAAAGTTATTGTGATAAAACATATATAAAATTTACCATTTTAAGTATACAGTTGAATGGCAGTAACTACATTCACAGGGTTGTGAACCATCACCATTGTCCATTTCCAGGACTTTTTCATGATCCCAAACAGAAACTCGGTACCCATTGAGCACACACTCCCCACTCTGCCTTCCTTCCACCCTGGACAACCACCATTCTACCTTCCTTCTCTATGAATGTGCTGCTTCTAGGAGCCCCATGTAAGTGGAATCAGAGAATATTTCTCCTTTGGGGCCTGGCTTATTTCACTTAGCATGCTTTCAAAGTTGACTCATGTTGTAGAATATATGCTTTTTATGGCTGGGTAATATTTTATTGTGTGGATATACCATATTTTGTTTGTTCATCCCTCTGCTTATGGACACTTGGGTGGTTTCCACTTTTTTTTGGCTACTGTGGATAATGTTGCTGTGACTATTGGCATGGAAGTATCTGTTTGATCTTGCTTCAGTGGTCTGAAATTATCTAATGTTTTCAGTATTCATTACAGCCTGAGCAGGCTGGTGCACTGCTGGGGAGGCAGGGTGTTTTGGGATGGGGGAAATGTGAGAGCTACATGCACACCCCAAATACACAAGATGTGGTTCAGTTGCTAAGGTCTAAAGGAGGAAGAAGAGTGTGTACATGAACCAGCCTAATCTCATATGATGTCATGTAAATAAATGCTACAATAGTTTGGGCTCAAACATTAAAGTTCCACCTTGTACAGTAGGTACTTGGGAAACTATGTAAGTCCCGAGGGTTCATTCTGTCACATGTAGAATTTTGTCATCCTAGAGACTGTCTCTTGAGCTGTTATTAAGTGTTATATTAGGGAGAAATCTTGGATATGAACATGGGTAGGAAGACTAGTAGCCGGGAAGAACTCTGGGTGCTGTTAGAGTGTTTCCAAGCAGAGAAAGAGAGCCTTTTATACTTGCAAAACCCAACTTTTCACAAGTCTAGAGTCTATCTAGGTCCTTGTGTGCAGGAAGCCCAGTCAGCTTTGTGGCTCCCCAGAGGGTCATGGCCAAGCCCGGCCTGTCTTAATCAGAGGACAGCCGACTACTGATTGCTCTACCCCTGTGCTGGGGAAGGAGGGCTCCTCCCCATGAAGCAGTCAGTTATGGTCATGTCATCATCTCATTATTTCCACAGCCCAGCAACTGCAGACGCCTCCTGGGAAGACCAGGAGATGAGGGCGGTCTGAGGAGGCAGAATTCCCAGTGGGCTGCGCTAAGTGGCAGTTGTTCGAATTAAAAGTGACTTGAGGATGGATTGGGCTGATTTATTGTCAGTGCCAGAGCTCTCTGACCCCATTCTGTGTAAAAGCTTGTCAGCATCCGGGAGTGACTTGTTCACAAGTCGGCACTGATTAAAAGGACATTGGTAATCAAGAGACTGTTAGCCCTGGCAGTTTTTCTCACTGGTTAGAGCATCAGCCTGAGCACCCCAGGGTAGTGGATTCGATTTTGGTCAAGGGCATGTGCCTGGGTTGCAGGTTTGATCCCTGGCCCTGGTCAGGCTGCATGCGGGAGGCAACCAGTCGACGTGTCTCTCTCACATCAGGGTCTCTGTCTGTCTCCCTCCCTCCCTCTTTCCCTTCCACTCTCTAAAAATCCATGGAAAAATATGCTCAGGTGAGGATTAACAACAAAAAAAAAAGAGACTGTTAGAGCAGGGACAGAACCCAAGTTCAGGCCAAAGGGGTCCCGTGGCTTCTTGAGGGGACTGGAGTCTGCTGAGATACAACTGTGGGAGCCACAGAGACCCCCCCATCCTGGAAGAAAGAAAGGAGGCTAGGGTTTCAGTTAGGAAAATGGGTAGAAACTAAGATCAGTTACTATGTAATTTTCAGGGCTTGAGGTTTTTGGTTTTTTTAAGATAAAGAAACAAGAAAGCCTACGACTATTAACCTATATAAGAATCTGCCCCCAACATACCTTACTGATCCCATCTCCTCTTGGTTTCTCTCGTGTTTCAACAGACTCCGGCTCCTCCGCGCTTGTCCATTCTCTCACGTGCCCCTGCCCTTTGCCCATGCTATGTTCAGAAATAGAACCCCTTCTCCTTCCCTACTGGTAACAGTCTGTCACCCTTTACGATCCGCTTCATTTTACACTTAAGGCCATTTTCATTTTGCTGGACATAGCTAATTGCTCCTTCTTTCTGTTTCCACACTCCGTGGTATGTACCTGGTTATTATATAATCTTAATTACATTGAAATTACTTGTTTCGGTCCATTTTTATTTTACTACATTCTTGTGCATGCATAACCCACAAAGATGTTTGTTCTCTTATATCATCCATAAATGGCGTCACATTCTAGCAAACATCTTGGAACCTGCTTCCCACTCAACACTTTTTTATTTATCCATGAATCACGCCTAGTTTACTTAGTTGGACAGCTTTATGGTTCCGTTGTATGGATATAGAACATTTTATTTATCTCTCCCCCCTATTGATAGACATTTAGATCATCTTTTTTTTAATTGTCAAATACAATTTGCATTGAACAGTGTTGTACATACTTACTTGTACAAGTATCTGAGTTTCTCTAGGTAATACCTAGAAGTAGAGGTGATGAGTTGTTAGGTCTATGTATGTTCAGTTTTACTAGACATGCCCCATTATTCTTCAGGTAAATTGTTCCAGTTTACCTTTGAACCAGCAGTGTACGAGAGTTTCTTTTTCCTTACAGCCTCAGCATCATTTCACAGTATCAAAGTTCTTGGTTACTGCCACTCTGGATTGTCATTTTAGCCTATCATTTAGCCTCTGATGACTGCCAAGCATTGTGTCTTTTTTTTTTGTTTTTTTTTTTTTGATGTTTATCAGTCATCTGAGTTTCTTCTGTAAATTTCCTGCGGATATCATTTTCCAGATTTTAACTACTTGCATCATATCTGCCTCTTTTGTTGAACTATGGACTCAAGAATGTCAAAGCTTGGGTTTTTATCAACCGTAACAATTGGACTTGCTTCCTGCGTGCATCAAAATGTTTCCTACGTCAGTAACCAGAAAAATCTAACAAGGGTTTAAAAGCTAAAGAACTACGTGCAAGGTCTTCACTCAGACAGAAATTGGAAGTTCTTCGTACCCAGGGTGGAGTTTATGGGTTTGGTAGTAATAACACAACCCCTTCCCTTTGTGGATACCATTTTATACTTTGAAAGTACTTGTCCATCTATCCTATCACTTCTTAAGGCAACCTCTCAAGTGAGGCAAAGGGGCCGTATCTTTCAGCAGCGATCTTCAGGTGTTGGGGAAAGCTTTCCCTAAGCTGCCAGAGAGAGTGATCTCAGGCATGGTCAAGGCTCTTGTCGCCACTTGACAAATTCCAAAACTTGAATTTTTTAAAATTTTGGAATTGAGACTTATTGATTGAAACTAGATTGTCCTCTAGAATTTTCCACAAACTGGCCTTTGCTGATTGCATCCTCATGATATTGTTAACGTGTTCCTTTGTCCCCTGTATGTCTTGCAAAAGGGTGGTAACATTTAGAGGCTGGATTAGATTCAGGTTTGATATTTAAAAAAGAAAAACAAGAATCCTTTGTTGGCAGTGTTATATGCTCCCATCGAGAGAGACAGAATATCCAGCTGTCCTTTTGTGATGTCAGGTCCCATTGATTATGCCTAAGCCTGTTAGTTAATTGGGAGTTCTCTCTTTCCTCCAGTGCTTATTAGCAGAAATGAGTCTAGGAGGAGAAACGTCTCATCACCTAAGTTACCTTGCTAGAGTTTACACTGGAAAATAGGGTAGATGTTTGATTTCTTACTTAGTAATTGCCAGAGTCATGAGTTGGTCCCCTCCTATCCTCTGAGAGCCTGTTTTCCCCTCTTTTTCCTAAAAAGGGAGAAGTGAGGATTACTGTCTCTTTGCCTTCATCCTTCAGTTTGAACTGGCTATTTGAGATGTGGGAAGTTACCTATGTGTGTGGCAGCTCCTATCTAGTGAGTGGTGTGGAGAGTTGGGGAAGGTCTGTGAGACGAGTGGAATGAACACAGACTTTGGACTCATGTACACCTGAGTTTATGTCTTGGCGTCGCCACTTCCCAGCCACATGCATGTGCTACTTAACCTTTCTGAGTCTGTTTTTCCAAAAGTATGTTGAAAATTAATAGCGCCTCTTTCCTAGGGTTCTTGTCAGGATTAAAGGAGACTAGAAGGAGCTCAGCCCAGGACCTGGCTCATGGTGGAGGCTTGGAGAAAACTCACTTTTACCAGCATTTTAGGGAATACAGCCCTCCTTGCCATTTTCCAAACAGAATTGGCTTACTAAAGTATGGTGGTGGCTTGTCATGGTGCCTCAAAGGATCAAATCTCTGTGTGGAAGAGATGTGGATACATGGAGGCCTCTGATGGGATGATGAGGTTGGGGGATGCTGAGATGAGTCCCAGTCTCCCTTGATTGGAGGAAGCTAATGACATTAACTCCTTTGATTAGCCGTTTCCTTGAGAGTCAGTCAGCTTGGCCGGACTGTGGCCTTGCCCCGATCTTGGGCATGTTCGTGCTCAAAGATGCCCTGTAGGACAACTCATTGTAACCAGGTTACACTTTCCACTGCTTCCCTGCGAAGTAAACACTGCATCTATGATGCATAGGAAGCTTTATACACTTTACACCTAAAAAGAAAAAGTATATATTATAGCCCGAACAGAAGATTTTAGGGTCTTAAAGTGGCAAATGACCTTTGAGGGCAAGGACTCCAAAACTCATTTCACAGGAAAGACAACTGAAACCCAATTTCATTTACCCTGCCATTGACTCCAATGTTTTTTAATGCCTCTTGCATGCTGTGCACTGGGATAGATGCTGGAGTTCCCATGCTGAAGCAGACGTGTAGTCGTGTCCCCCCCCCCCATGGAGTGGGAGAGGGTGATGGCTCCTGGAGAATAGGGTGTAGGAGAAAATGAGGGCAAGTGCAGAGGACCCGGGGAGCAGGTGGCAGGAGGAGCCTTCCTGCTGAAACTGGACGAAAGAGGAGGAGCCAGCCAGGGAAAGGGAGCCATGAGAAGGGATTGCTCCCAGAAGAAGGAACATTGCATGTAAAATTGGGGTGGGGACAGAGAGAACACAGGGCTTTTGAGGAAGCAAAAGGAGTTCAGGATTGTCTGAGGATGGAGACCGAAAGCAGGAGTGACGAGAGGCAAGGCTGGGTCAGAGCCTTCAGAGGGCAGTGGAAGCCACTGAAGCATTTTACACGGGGAATGAAATAACCAGCTTTACATTTAGAAGAAAACTCTGGTGGTCAAGTGAGAATTGACTGGGAGACAAGAATGGGAGAAGGGAGGCCTGTGGAGACAGGCCTTTGAACTTGTTCAGGAAAGAGATGGTGGTGACTTAGGCTTAGGCTGTAGCAGTAGGCCAGAGAGCGGGGCGAGATGTGCGACACATTTGGGACATCACATCGGGTGTTCTTGGAGGGTGAGAGGATGTGTAGAGTGCAGGCCAGCCTGGGCTGAGTAGTGTGAGTGAGTCTTAGGTTTCCGTGAATGAATGGTTGCATGACTCGAGGCCTCACCTGACTCACCTCAAAAATAGGAATAGTGATGGTTTTCCTTGTCAAGACTTAACAGAGAGGACGTTTTCATGAGTATTTATCGTAAGTCAACTTTGTGACCTTTTCAAAGGTAGTGGCTGGCTTTTAGCTCGTCTGTTTGCCTTGTTAATAGCAGATGCTAGCTGAGCCTTATGCAGATTTGGGAAGTCAGGAGGTACTGATAGTTCTGTGGCTTGGATTTGACTAGGAGGGGTGGAGGATGAGTTGGGATTTGGGGTTTTCTTGTAACTCCTTTGTGCCTCAAGTTTCCTAGACAACTGAAAACTTAGAGTGGCTATTTTTCTAGCATTTTAACCACCTAGAAAGTAAACCACGTGAAAGGGATTAAAGTATTACTAAATTGTTACCAATCCATTACCAGTGTGATGTCTTATAGAAAGTAAACTTGCACCCACTCATTTTTTAAGTTCCCGTCGGGTGTTTTGAATTGAGCCTCTGCAGCTGCATGAGAAATGGCACCAAGAGGGCAATGGCTTTCTGATTTGTCCTAGTAATGAGGTGTGGTGGGATGGGTGTCAACCTTTGATCTCTTCCTAGGAAGTACCCTTTATCACTTGGGAATGACATTTGATTGCTTAGTCACGGAGACCCGATCAAAGTGGATTAAGCCCAGGAAGTTTTATGTTTTCTCACGAAAGTTTCCGAGCTCTGAGTCTCTAGACCTTTCCCTCATGGTCTCAAGATGACTGCTACAGCTGTACTATCATGTGCACATTCCAGGCAGGGGGGAAAGGAAGAGAGGAAGAACAATGGAGTACACCTTCCAGCTAGTCAGTCTCTTATAGAGCCCACCAATCGACTCATCATTGTCGTCAGCCATCCTTAGGAGTAAAGGAGGCAGGAGAATGAATTTCTGTTTTGTTTTAGCTTGGCCCATTGTCACCCCAAAAGCAGAGACGCTCCACAAGGAAGGAAGAGGGAGAGATGGAGATGCTGCCATAAACATACAGTCCTGAAACTGAGAAAGTCCTCCCGGTTTTGTACATCTTTTGTTTGTTGTGAACAGGCCATCGGAAATGCCAAAACCACTCGCAATGACAACAGCAGCCGCTTTGGAAAGTATATTCAGATAGGCTTCGACAAGAGGTACCACATCATTGGAGCCAACATGAGGACCTACCTGCTGGAGAAGTCCAGAGTGGTCTTTCAGGTGAGTGGTGTGACTTGGGCTTTTTTGTATATTTTTGCCATAGATGCTGATACTTGCTCCCTTACCCCCCTCCGTGTGTCCAAAGAGCAACTCATCTTTTGAGCCTGGAATTGGATATGCTTGTTCTTGTGGTCTTCTTTCTCATTTTCCATCAATAAGTATTTATTCAAATGCTTTAGGCATCATTCCTGAGAAATCTTTTACCAGTACTGTTATTTTTCAGTGAGTGTTGTTTTCAGATTCAATCAACAAATGTATTGAGTGCCTATTATGTGCTAACCTGTGCTAGACACCGAAGACACAGTGAGGATAAGGCAGTCCTGCTCCTTGTGGGTTTCAGAGTCATGACCAGAGAAAGGGCATAAGGTGTCTGGGTTCCAGCTTTCCCAGGAACCTTCTTATATGGTAGGTTATAAAAAAGAGAAAAAAACCTACTTGGTTTCCTTTTCAAATTAATGGAGTTCCCATCCGGCCGGCGTGACTCAGCAGTAGAGCATCGACCTACGATCCAGGAGATCACTGTTCGATTCCCAGTCAGGGCACATGCCTGGGCTGTGGGCTCAATCCCCAGGAGGGGGTGTGCAGGAGGCAGCCGATCGATGACTTGCTCTCATCAATGATATTTCTGTCTCTCTCTCCCTCTCTCTCAAATCAATAAAGTTACATTAAAAAAAAATAATGGAGTTCTTGCTTCTCACCAGACTCAGCCCTTCATTTCTCTGTGCTCACCTTCCACTCCCTTTTTCCCAACTGCCCTGAACTGAGACGTTGGTATGTGCCCTGGTGTGAGCCATCTGCACTCTTACCCCCGGTAAAATGGTTTCCTGGCCCAGACATTTCGGCTGCCTTCAGAGGGGACATCAAAAGCAGCCTCAGCTGTTTGTTTCTCAGTGACACCTGTCTCCATGCTGATTCTTAGCAATGGATTTAATGAATTTCCTAATCAGCTTTATTGTTTTTAATTTCCTTGTATTGCCTAGGCTTTGTCTTCACCTCCCAGGTTTGGTTTGACAGCCCCACATCCTTTATTTCACGGCAGCAAAGCCGGCGGCATGCTGTACTGGGTGTGGGTTGCAGGTGCTGGTCATGGCTCTGGCCAGACTCTTCCCTGAACATCCCTGGAGCTTTCCCTCTTTTTTGCTTCCTTTGCTCAGGCCTCCTGAAGTCCCCAGCAGGTCTGGCCCAAATGTCCACTGTAAGGCCTGTCTCAATCATGGGCCTTTCCTGACTGCCTGGCTTGATCATGGGCAAGAACGTAGCTTTTCCTTAGTTCCAAGCCTCCCAGAGGGACAGGGAGCCTGCAGCAGGGAAACCACAGTCCGTGCAACATGAGCCTGCAGCACGGCTGTCTGATAAGTGTGTGTTGACAGATGGGCCCTCTGTGGAATAGCAATGATGTTCTTCACAGCAGGAAAAACAAAATACATGTTTTCATGTAAGAGAGGAAAATCCTCAGGTTAGATGAAGGCCTATATTAGTGAATGCAAGATCTGGAGGTGGAGATTAAAGGGGGCACAGGTGTGGAGGGAGAGTCTTGACCTCTGTCATCTGGAGCACGCTGGGATTAGGATGGGTAAGGGGACAGTTTTGGGGGTGACCACCCTAAGACTGTTTAACTGTGTTCTCCCTTCAGGCGGATGACGAGAGGAATTACCACATCTTCTACCAGCTCTGCGCTGCTGCCAATCTCCCGGAATTTAAAGAGCTTGCACTTAGTAAGTAAATGGGTGCCCATCCTCTGGGCGGGCTGTGGCTGCAGCAGATGGTAGGTCCACCTGGGGGCTCCGAGAGCAGGAAGGGGGCTCTGCTCAGAGCCCTCTGTCGTGGGTCCTTGTCTTAGCTCTGCCTCTCCTGTGGGCGTGTTTGCTAGACCTCTTTGAGCTTCGTTACCTAGTTGGTAAAATCGCGTTAATTGTACCCAGGCTGCCTGCCACAGAAAATGTTGGAGAGGATGAGAGAGGCAAGGGGTGGAACAGTGTTTGCAGAGCAAAGAATTTCCCAGCTTTACTCTTTTGAAAAATGTTTCCACTTTTGACATCATAAGAAATGTGTCCCAACCGGAGCATCTGGAGGTTTGATGATTCCCATCACTTAATTGTAGCCAACCCATTTTAAGTCATAATTAAGAATTGAGACAAAAAGAAGGAAGGGAGTGAGAGGGTAAGGCAGGGCTAAGGTGAAGGGGACTCGAGAGGCATGCTGATAAACCAATGGAACATTATACACTTAGAGATACCAAGTACTGGGCAGGGTTGTACCACACAAGGGTACTACGTAGCTTGTAGAAAATGTAAGTGATTGCCTGGCCGAGCGTGGCTCAACGGTTGAGCGTCGACCTAGGATCCAGGTGATCGGGGTTCGATTCCCGGTCAGGTTACATGCCTGGGTTGTGGGCTCCAGCCGATCAGTGACTCTCTCATCATTGATGTTTCTCTGTCTCTCTCTCCCTCTCCTTTCCTCTCTCTGAAATCAATAAAGATATATTTAAAAAAAGAAAAAAAAAGAAAATATAAGTGATTTTCAGGGGTAATTTTGATCATGTGCATTTGTTGCCTTCAATGCTAACTTCCAAGCCCCGTAGTGCGAATACTACCCAGGGCTCGTTGCATTTTCTCCCTCTGCTAAGGTTGGCTCTGAATCCTAGGACAGAACCTGGGCCCCTCCTCACCAGCTGTCCCCAGGCTGTCCCCATGGGCCTGACTGAAGAGGAACAAAGCTGGGGGATGAGAACAGGCATATGAGGGTCTCAGCCTTGTTCGTGTGCCTAAACAGCTCAAGGCTGCCCCAACTTGGTAAAAAAGCCATGTCACCTTGGGCACATCACCGCCCCTCGTTTGTCAAATGGGGTTGCCAGAATAAGGTCATTGAATATCATGGAAGTCTGGGATTCCAGGGTGGGTGTACATCTCACCTGTGTGTGTCAGATCCTTTTTAAAACAGGTTTGTGGCGAATCCTACTATACAGTGAACTACCCATGACTTACTCATCTCGTATGTTCACATGATTTTCACAGAACAGTTTTACACAGATAAGCAACTCCTCCTGGCAGTGCAGCATCCTTTTCTGTCTTTCGTTATTCAGTTTTTCTCTCCCATTTGCCATTGTCAATAAAGGTAATTTCTGCAAGGGTTGCACATCGGCGGGGAAAACGGGGGTCTGGGGTGGCTTACTGAGGGAGCAGAGCTCCTCACGAGTCCCGTCTCCGGGTACACGAGACGAAGCTGCCCTCGGGAGCCTGATGCCTCACCCTCCCTTCTGCAGCGTGCGCGGAGGACTTTTTCTACACGTCCCAGGGAGGAGACACATCCATCGAGGGCGTGGATGATGCAGAGGACTTTGAGAAGACTCGACAAGCCTTCACACTCCTTGGTAAGGAGCTTGGGAATGGAGGGGAAGGCCGGGAGGGTTGATTTCATGGGGAGGAGAAAAGCATGGCCGTGTCCCGCTTGGCTTGTCCACCTTCATCAGCTGATGGGGAAGCCCTGTCGTCCTTGGTGACTCTCTTCTCCCATCCCCGCTCTCGGGCTCCCATGCCTCAGGCTTGGGACTTTGTTGACCTTTCCTAAACATGAGGATTTGAGAGTTGGTCCACTCTGTGGGTTACCTGAATAAAGTTTTTAATCCCAGCATGACACACTTCTACTCCTATTAATATAGGTGTTGCTGACTTTTTTTTTAGCCTGATAAATTATTCCCTTAAAATTAAGTAACCACAGCTGGGGAGGAACATAGGGGAACAATTGTAGTATTTCCTAAACTGAGCGGTAGGTTGACTGGTGTTCATTATATTATTCTGTAACTTTTTTTTTTATATGTCTGAAGTATTTTGCAATTTAAAGAGAAATGATGACGCCTGGAAGTTAAGTATAAATTATAAGGGGATTATCCATGTCTTTGGCAACTTAGCTGTGGAAATAAATTTCACAAGAGGTGTTAGCTGCCACAGAGGCTCCGGGGCAGGTGTGCATGTCTGTCGCTATGAAGGAGCATATGGCGTGGTGAGCAACAGCTCCCTGGACACCCAGCCCGCCACAGCCCTCCCAGGAGAAGGCTCCCCCACTGGCACTCTGGATGTGTGCCACAGATGTTTGCAGGATATTATGTTGGGAGAAAAATGACTGTAGATAAATGACCAATCTTATTAAACTCATAAAAACATCCATAAAGTGTTCGGTTGAAATCTGAGTCCAAAATGAGTGTGCAGATTGCTGCCTTTCCTTTGCTCCTGGAGAAATTAAAATGGTGCTGTGACCCATCTGGTTTGATCAGGACAATCAGAGTAGAGATACTTCCTTTTAGTCTGGGCAGCCCCTTTGCCCTCTGAGCTGTTGCTGTGAGTAGTAATTACTTGGTGAGGAGTTGGGATCATTTTAGGAGTCACTGGCCCAGAAAGGAAAATCAAACCTTATTTAAAAAAAAAAAAAAAAAGTCCTTAAAAAAAGGGTAAAATGCCCTTTCTATCCTGCTGTGGATATTGAGTGTCATTTGTTCTTTTTTTTCCCCCCCCCCAGGAGTGAGAGAGTCCCATCAGATAAGCATTTTTAAGATAATTGCTTCTATCCTGCACCTTGGAAATGTGGAGATTCGGGCTGAGCGCGATGGTGATTCCTGTAGTATATCAGTAAGTTGCACACTAGCCCCGGAGATAAAATGTACACAACTTATTCTGTTCTCACAGTTTTATACAACTGAAATGTGTCTTTGCATTTAGAGGGCACTTGTAGGTTATTTATTCTTACCAGTGATGGTTTCTGTTCCCTTGCTGATAGTTTTTTAAAAGAACAAATCCTTTTCATATCAGCTGCCATCAAATTTCTGTCACGGAGGGCAGGGAATTTAGTGGCCACTCAAATTATTTTTTTAAATAATTTTTGAGAAAGAGAGAGAGATGGATTAGTTGTTTCGCTTATTGATGGATTCATTGGTTGATTCTTTTTTTTTTTAAATCCTCACCCGAGGATATTTTTTCCATTGCTTTTCAGAGAGAGTGAAAGGAAAGAGAGAGGGAGAGGGAGAGAAATTGAGAAAGAGAGAAAGAGAAACATTGCTGTGAGAGAGACACATCGATTGGTTGCCTCCTGAGGCACTCTCCCTGACTGGGGCCTGGGAGCAAGCCTACAACTGAGGTACATGCCCTTGACCAGAATCGAACCCTAGACCCTTCAGTCCTCAGGCCAGTGCTCTAACCACTGAGCCAAACCGGCCAGGGCCATTGGTTGATTCTTGTATGTGCACTGACCAGGGATCGAACCTGCAACCTTGGCGTATCAGACAACGCTCAAACCAACTGAGCTGCCCAGTCAGGACCCAATAAATTATTATTTTTTTAAATCATGATTACTTTTTTAATACATTTTTTATTTTTTTATTGCTTTCAGAGAGAGGAAGGGAGAGGGAGAGATAGAAACATCGATGATAAGCATTGATCAGCTGCCTCCTGCACGCCCCCTCCTGGAAATCAAGCCTGCAACCCAGGCATGTGCCCTGACCAGGAATTGAACCATGACCTCCAGGTTCATGGGTTGACGCTCAACCACTTAGCCATACCGGCTGAGCAATAAATTATTTTTGATGGTTTGATTTTCCAAGTATCCTGAGGTCCATGGAATTGTACCAAGTATCATCAGCCCATGGGTCTTTGATCTCCCCCTACTGAGGATCATACGGGAAGCCGATGAAGGAGTGTTAGATATCGTATTTGGTGATCCTCTCCAAGGAGTTCACAGTCTGATTGGGTAGATAAGACTGCTGACAACACTTGCCAAGATTTTGACAGCATGAGGCAGAATATTGAAACATTTATGTGAATGTATTGCAAACTGTAAAGTGCTTGATAAATGCTCACAATGACTGTTATTTTCCTGGTACCTGAAGTAGTACCCGATATGTGGTAATAAAAACATGTCTAAGTGGGCAGATGGTGGAGTAGATGTTGGAGCAAAAGAACAGACAGCAGCTCTTTGTCTCACTAGGGTTAGGATGATCAGAACTTAAAACTGGCCCTGCCTTTAGGGAAAGGAAGACCTGAACTGTATGGCATCTGGCGGAGCTCATCCCCCACCTCTCACCCCCACCCGATACATTTTCCCTAAAAGAGAAATGGTCTTGGGTTTGGGAGGTCCTCTGGGCCATTCAGGGCTGCCACCATCCTTAGCATGGAGTCTGCGCCTCATGAGAGCATTGAGGCTCACCCACCTGGGCCCCGTGTGAAAGGGGGGAGTGTTGGAGCTGGGCAGTATTGGGTGCCCCTGGACATCAGTGTGGATGTGCCTGTGTGTGTGGCAGGCAGAGAGTTTGGTAGTGATGATGCTATGAGAGACTCAGATGTCCAGAGGAGGCCCTGTGTCTTGGTGGGGTGGGGTGTGCGCCTCTAGTGCAGACCAAACAGTCCCCCAGACTGAGTATTTAGGGCCAATGAAGCATTGCCTCTGATGTCTTTCCCCTCATGAGAAAGGCATAGAGAGTCCGTGCCTTCCCAGCACACCCCAGTAAATGTCCCACGGTTCCTTAGGGCAACCATGCTCTGCCTAGTGTCAAGGACAGGTGAGATTAGGAACATGTGCATTGAAAAATTCCCAGTTTAGCCTGGCAAGTTGCCGGAAAGATGACAGATATTCTCTTGGCCTCCAACCCACCCCTCCCTCAGTCCTCCTCTTACAGAATACATCCCAGTCACGTCCCCTCATCAGTACCTCTGTTCCACGGCATGTCACATGGTTGTAGTTGTACATTTATTGTTGCATGTCTCTCTCCCTCATGAGACTCTGAAGGCTGTGAGGACAGGGACTGTTCTGCTCATGATTGTGTCACCAGGACCCAGCACTTGGTAGACATCTAATAAGTAAATGGGTAATTTAGGCTCTCTAGGCTCAGGGGTGACACGAGAGAGAGTAGAGTGGATGAGCATATATGAGGACATTGGGGGGGCTGCCGGTGAGGAATGAGAAGCAGGGCCAGGGAGTCCCTGGGCACCTACAGGGTT